TCAGGATGGTCAGTGGTGTCAAAGGCAGATGTTAACACCAGCAAAACCATGACTGTGGATGCTCCGGAGTCAGCTGACATCATAGTGTCAATAGAGACCTTAATTAATGCGGTTTATGTTGAGTGACATTTACGGGAACCAGACTGAAATTTGTCATAGATTTCACATAGATTTTTCTAAAAGCGGAAAGTTGATCTGCAACTACTTTTTCCAGAATTTTAGGCAAAATTGGGAGCGTAGAGACACACTGCCATTATCCAAACTGCTCTTTTTTAATATCAACTCAACAACAGCATGCTTACAGAACCTAGGGACCACACCTGTTTATTTATTTATTTACATTACTTCTGGAAATTTGGAAATCACGACCAACCCTTCTGTGTTTACCACAAGCAGTTGGACTATACTCGTTAAATGTTGCTTTTCTAGTACTGATACTGACACTATCACTGGCACTGGTACTAATACGGGTACTGGTACTAATCCATAACCTAATGATCTCACTTCCTGTTATTTCTGGTTGGATGTAGTCAGATCTGTTTTGAGAAGTGTATCTGGCAGTGATCAGGTCCAAAACACGACTCAGAGGACTGATCGTTCATCCTATCCTAGCATATCTGAGAGTTTCAAAAAGCTTTGAATCATATGAGGATGTTTGCCTTTCTCAGTAAATGTGCAGTGGAGGAACCTTTTACTGCAGGTAAGTCAGAGCTTGTGGTCTTAAGTAGCTGTTCAAAGCTCGGAGATGTGTCTGGGCTCATTATTCTGCCTCCGTCTGAGTTCCCCACAAAGATCAAACCCGAGGGTGGAGCACTGCTTCTCATTTATCAGGGTGGAGATGATTCACTGCTGGTGAATGCTCCCATTTCTCTGTGTATAATTCATTGTCTGCCAGTGTTTTTCACCTTCATATTGATTTACCCACCTTTAGTGTGATTCATTGGGATACACCGCGCCATGCTGCCATGTGTTAGCCTTCCTCCCTGTTTCTCCTTCTCTCCATGACATGATTATTTTCATTTACTAAATTCAGAGTGTGAGAATTGTTCATACAGTTGCTCTTCAGTCTCTCAGTGAACAAAGCCTGATGCATCGATCCTCTGATAGTTCGGTCTGCTGTTCGTGCTTTAGACACAAGTTAGCACAGTGTACTCTCCCCTCTTACCTTTAGTCCAGCCATGATGTGATGCTCTGCTCAGAATATCACTGTTCTCATATTTCTCCTGTGGTGATGCTACCTGCGCAGCAACTTTGAGTCGATCAGCTGGGTGTCATTTAAACATTGTTGTGGTAGAAGAGCCCAGCTCTGTGACAGTGGATCCTCTGTACGCAGGACTCTGCATTGTTGCTTCATCTGAGTGCTGAATTATTCATTTTACACAACTTTTTAAAATGTGTGTAGACGGTCAAACCTGCCAGCTTCTCCAGGGTTTAAATACACTGTAAACCTTTTTAACAACACTGTAGGAAAACGCCTATAAACACGTTAATAGATCGATAAGTTCAGTAGAGCAGGGCGACATGACCAAAAATATTTATCACGATATACATTTGAAAATTTGCAATAACGATATAACTGACACGAGACAAAATACTTTACAACTCCACAACTTTATTAATGCAAAAAGAAAAACATCA